CACACACACACACACACACACACACACACACACACACACACACACACACACACACACACATAAAGGTATTGAGTTTCAGTGCGCTGCCTATCTTTCACAAGGTATGAAACAGCAAAACAACTTTCAGCCAAAGTAAAAGATGGTTAAAACATTTGCTTGTGAACATTTTTGTCTCATTGCAGCAACAACAAACGTTATTATAATCACTACCTGTTAAAACAATGTTTTCATTTTACATTTAACCAGCTGTACAAGAAAAGTAGTGGAGAAAGAACTAAAACGGTGGTTTACTGCAGGGCTATTCAACTAAACTGCTTCGGGGGGCCACAGTTACTGCAGGCCAACAGCTGAGGGGCCGAACAAAATTAAAATCATTAAGTAAATTCATCAAGCATCACAAAGATCTGTTACCTTTGAGATAGTTTAATTTGCTTTATTTAATCATGAGTAAAACATACAGAACCCTATATAAGTAGTGATAATTAAACAATATCAAAAACAAAAGTAACATTTTTCCTCTTAACACAAATAATATTTTGACACCTCTTGACTTGCCAAATTTTAAATCAATTTCATTTTCACATTCATAGTTTTATCTTCAACTGCTTGTAGTTTTATCTGACTTAGATATTCATAGAAATGTTTTTACCAGCTTCTAGTCAAGATTCTGACATTTCTGTAGATAGCAAACATGTCTACCGTATTTATTCAAGTAAAATACGTTAAATTAAATCCATAAAGTCATCCATAAAGTTGGGGGGTAGTACTATACTCGGATAAATATTTTTACTTATGTATTTTAACTGAAATATCGGCTTCATTCACAAAATGCTTGAGTCCAGAAATGAGACCGCGTCGTAAAAAGCAGTTGAAACGAGCTCACCTCTGACACTCCTCCGTGCTTCAGAGCGAGATAATAACAGATCCAAACAGGAGACATGATGTGAAAAAAGAGTGAAAAAAAGCAGTCCTGCACCTTAGTAATGATAACGAACTAATGACATTAGTGTGTGACCGAGCTGCTCCTGGAACAAACACGTTTGTCTGTAATGGCTGCCATCTACCGGTGTTCTGAAAAAGTTGTATCCCTGTAAAAAGTTTCCCCACCAGAGGGGGCGCTCGTGAATAGAAAGTAATCTGCTTTTCCCCCACAAGATGGTCCAAATCTCATGTGAAGTCTCTGACTTTGTGTTGGCGCCTCCTGGTGGACTATGTGTAAAATGACAGAATTCATATGATGCTGCTACAGCTGATATATATTTGTTGTCAAAATACCTTTTAGTACATATGTTGTTAAAATAAAATGAACAGTCCAATGA